TCACAGCAACACAGAAATTTAGAAGGCACAAAGATGAAAGATAGAGAAAAAAAGTGATCAAAACTGATGGAAAGTTGTGAAAAGACAATGAGAAAGGATGTAACAGTTTTGAAATTCTCAAACCAGACAATATATGGGTGTATCTATGGCACTGAAATGAATTCTTAGTCACATTACATAAAGTCTCCAACCAACAGTTTCTTCCCCAATCGAGGAGCTTACATTTCTCGACACGGATCAGACTGATAGTCAGAGACTTCATACATTGGTGCCATGTTTTAGTCTGGCCACCTCGGTCCTTTTTCCAGCCTGAACCCACCTCAGCCAACATTGAGTGGCGAGGCAATCGGTGACTAGGCATACGTAGTACGTGTCCCAACCATCTCAGTCGATGAAGGTTCACAACTTCGTCGACTGACTTACCTCTTCTCCCCAAAACTCTACACCTAACTTTTGCATTACTCACATGGTGACACCACGGAATACGTCCTATACTACGAAGGCAATGGTGGTCAAATACCTGTAACCTTCTCATGTCTTCCACTTTCAATGGCCATGTTTCACAGCCATACAGTAGAACAGAGCGGACTGCTGTGCAGTACACGCGACCCTTAATAGACAAACGAATATCACGGCGGCGCCATAGGTGGCGCAAATTGGCAAAAACCAATCGAGCCTTTTGTATCCGTGCAGAAATCTCATTGGCAACTAACCCACCGGAGTTGATCCTACTTCCCAGGTAAGTGAAGTGGTCAACACACTCAACCACTTCACTCTCTATTGTTAACCGCGGTACCGCCTTGTAGAGGGATGCAGACTAGCCGATGGGGTCCAAATGACAACAAAAATCAGTGGTTGGAGACTCTAGGTGATATGGTTAAGAAGCAATGTAAGTGGCGTAGATATATCCGTACATTATCTGGATCTTAATTGTTATATAGAATTCAGTATTTTCTTATTCCTCCTTCCTCTCTCTTACTACTTTGTATTTCTTTTGACTGACTTTCCTTTTTTTCTTCATCTTATAGCTTTACTGCTTGAGATGCTGATATGAGGCGCGGCAACTTGGACTATACTTCTCTACGAATTACTAATCAATAAGGAACTGGAGTTCACAGCTTTCCATAGGTGAGAAGAGAAAACACTAAAAATCGGGTTTAATCCTAGTGTTTACGTGTAGATTTCAAATGATACCGCAAACGTGATTTTACAAGAGCTTCTGTAATTCATTCAATGAACCAGAAGCACAGTCTAAAGCTTGATATAATAGCAATGAATTGGCTATCGATGTACCCAAATCTTAGAGAATCATAACTTTTACGGTTAATGTGCGTAAACCCTTGGATTTTTAATCAGAATGCCGGAAAACATGCTAAATCCTGGTATGTTTCTTGTTTTTCACAGCAGCGCTCCTGTGTGTATGATCCAAATCTAGCATATTCGTCGGTAGAATATCTCCCCGCCCCATATCAAAAAGAAGAGACAGAAGGAGTTAGAAGTATCAGTACTTCTACAATCATTTGAAACAAATAGTGACAACAGGCAAGAAAATTTCATCAGAAGATATTGCTTCACTGAATTGGCATTAAATAAAGAGCTTTCGTTCCGTACTCAGTCTACGGACAGACATTCCTAAAAAACCTATAGATCGAAAAAGTGTAACGCTTTATAGGGATAAAATAATACAAGTGATATGAGATAACAGTTTTTTGCGGTAGGTAAAGTTATGGGAAGTTAACGACTAGCACCTCAATTACCAAAAATGAAATATATCTGAATGTCTATATGTGACTATTCATTGGTGTACAGGAATTTCAAAACTTTGTTGACAAAGCTAAAATTTCTGGCTCCCCAAAGCGGGATACTATCGTTTCACATAAAATTAGAATATCACCGGAAGAAACGAGTGTGAAGTGATGACCTATTTCGGTTACACAGTCAGCACTGGAAAATTGTTACGACCTATTGATCTACAAGTTGATAGCCAAATTAAGGAAAAGCATCATGGTGGATGACAATCGGCTCTCAAACGTATGACTGTTCGGGAAATTACGGAACACACTTATCAACTTTGCAACAATAAATAATTTCTGACCAATAATTTAACTTCCCTACCTTGGCCAGGGAAAACTTAATGAATGACCTTACCTATGAATTTTAAAATGCACTTCTCCCTCTTTTTATTTATTTAGTCACTTCTTTTACACCACTATTATATTCACATTCAAATTTTATTTACTCACTGCCTTTATCCTCCAGCATCACAGAAACTTATTGTCCTTTGTATCAGACATCCTTGATATCTTAATATTCATTAATTCCCTGGAGAAGCTCGGACCAGCCTTCAAAGCAAAACGCTGCAATTATTTCATTTTAAAAACGCTATGACTTACAAAAATAGAAAGCTGTCTCAGGTCAACCTTATACTCAGCAACCAATATTTGCCATACTATTCGGTCAACAACAAGCACAAATCACAATCAGCGGGAGAAATCTAAAGGAAGTTGTCTCTTTCACCTACCTACACACAATCGTCTCAACTGCAGACGGCACAGGCACAGACGAGGACATCAAAGCCAGGATCGGAAAAGCAAGACAGACCTTCCTTCATTAATCTGAAATCAGCGTGAAGATCTACTCCATTCCACTGCGCTGCACTCACCATAAAGCGTGAACAAGATCCGGATTTTCAACACTAATCTCAGTCAAGTCAGTGCTTCTATGTAATGGTTGAGAAACTTGGAGCGTTACAGAAAGCATTCCCAACAAACTACAGACATCATAAATCAACAACTGTCGTCTACTCTCGCTCACTCGATACTGAAGGTCACATGGCGAGAATAATAAGAATAAGCAAGGAGGAACTCACTCTGGCCTGCAACGAACCAACCAACAACCTGTCGCCTAACAAATATGCAGAAGAAGGAGGTGGAGATGGATTGGGAATACACTGAGAAAGAAGACCATTTAGGGACATCACGCGTTAGGCCAGGCTAAGACGTCGAGTGGAACCCAAAGGGAAAACGATGAGTTCGGTGTCCGAGGTGAGGGTGACATGGAGGAGATTGTGTGAGGAAGAAATGAAGGGTTGTGGGTATTCGTGGGGCCAGGTTGGGAAGACTGTAGAGAAGGGAGTGAAGTGGTGACGTGCTACTGAAGTCCTATGTTCCACTAGGAACCCAAGGGACAAATAATAACAATGATAATAATTCGGTCAAATCTTGATCATATAAACTCACTGTCCTTTTACAATCTTTGACCCACTCTGTCTGTCTGAATACAATAGTTTACAGTAGTTTAACTAATAATGTAAAATTTCCCTCGTTATTAATATTCCTTTTATGAATTGTTATATTAACATTATTCGTAATGTCGTAGAGGAGTATATATACATATATGTATATATTTTTTGTTGATGAAAATTCTTAACATTATTCGGAATAAGATGATTATCATCACCGTTAAATGGTATTATTTTGTAACAGCCCATGTTGCTAAATCTCACAGCAACACAGAAATTTAGAAGGCACAAAGATGAAAGATAGAGAAAAAAAGTGATCAAAACTGATGGAAAGTTGTGAAAAGACAATGAGAAAGGATGTAACAGTTTTGAAATTCTCAAACCAGACAATATATGGGTGTATCTATGGCACTGAAATGAATTCTTAGTCACATTACATAAAGTCTCCAACCAACAGTTTCTTCCCCAATCGAGGAGCTTACATTTCTCGACACGGATCAGACTGATAGTCAAAGACTTCATGCAATGATGCCATATTTTAATCTGGCCACCCTTACCTATTTTCAGCTAACATTCTGCAAAGAGGCAGATGAGGGCTAAGCATGCGTAACACATGTCTCAGTCAACTGAGTCGATGAAAATTCACAACCGCATCAACTGACTTTCCTTACCTTCCTAGAGCTTAACATCTAATTTCTATACTGCCGGATTAGTGACATCATGACACACAGTTTATGCTAAGAAGGCAACGGTGGTCGAACACTTGAACCCTTCTCATGTTCTCTAAATTCAACGAGAGTGTTTCACAGCTATATTTGTAGAACAGGGAGAACTTCAGTGTAGTATACTCAACCTTTAATCGACAATCAGATACCATGGAGGCTCGGTAAATGGCATAGGTTGGCGAAAGGTAATCCAGTCTTTTGTATGCGTGCAGAGGTTTAGTCGGTCACTAACCTACCAGGATTGATCCAACTTCCTAGATCAGTGAAGTGGTCAGCGTGCCCAACTATTTCGCTTCCTACTGTTAAACAAAGTAGCAGTGAAGACTAATCATGTGGTAACAAACAGTCTGCAATTCGGATGATGACAAACGCATCCCAAACACTCGCAAACTGTCACTCATCGAGACATCTTTTTCTGCGCCATTGTCACTGATTTTCAGCTACGTCAACCATTGGTTCCTATAGAGTCTCGGGACCCCTACACGGTTTATATCAACAGTCATGGACTTCATCGACTGGTCCCACCTCTGTCCCAACATAATTCGACTTCCCTTATCATTGCAGATTGAAGTAGACGGTGGGTGGCTTGGCATGGGCAGTACCTGTCCGAGTCATCTCAGTCGACTAAGGTTCACAACCTCATCAATCAACTTGTCTGTCTTGCCTAGTACCCTTCACCTGACTTCAACATCGCTCACACGATGATTCCACAAAACGCGAGCGATGCTATGAAGACATTTGGTCGAAACCCTGTAACCGCTTCATGTAGTCTACGTCAAAGTCTCATAGCCGTATAACAGGATAGAACAGAAGATTCAGATCTATGACGCTACCTAATTGTCGTAATTAGTTTCGGTCGAGGAGGGTCCAAAATCGTAGCCCATTGGATGAAGGCCAATCACCTGAATCAACGAATTGCACCTCCATAAATTGAGTGATGACGGTGGGATAGAAACAAAACTGCAAAATGTAACGAAATGAATAAAATAGAAAATAAATGCTGAATATGCAAGTATTTACACACATAATTTTACCTCTTCCGTAGCGTTACTAGTAGTGGTAGTACTAGAATTTCTAGATGCTTCCCCAGTTGAACTCAGTTCATGCATAACTTCACATACACACGATGAAATTGAAGGTGATTGTGTATCTGATGTGATTACCTCGGTAATCACCTGATCGATTACTTCATTCACATGATCATTCATCAATTTCTATATGGAAGTATGTTTTGCAGGTAATAGGTTAATAAAGCAGGAAAATTTAAACAGGATTTCAATGATATACAACAAACTTAATTCATGAATGGTTAATTAAAGCAAAAAACCAATAAGCAGTACGTTAGCTTTTTAAGCTTGTTTTAGATATTAGGCGTGTGTAATCAACAGAATTTGTTTATATCAATTTCCATAACACTGATCAAAAACCATGAAAAAGTGGACAGTGTAAAATTAACCATTCAAAGTAGAATTAAGACAGATGCACCATCTCATCCAGAGAAAGGAATATATTGGAAGCAAACAAACCTAAGGGTGGCTAAACGGAAATGTGGTAATAGACCATGAAGCATCTAAACACTTATGTGTCTTTCAGGGACATATAGCTTATCTACCTGGTTGTAATGGGGGTGGGATATCCTCTAGAAGTAAAGAATAAATTATATTGATGATAGGCAGTGACTAACAGTGGAATCTAGGATGTACGTTTCGCCCTTTCTAGGACTCATCAGCGATAACATCAAAACTAAGGAATAAATGATTAGAGACAAACACATAGTGTGATCATTGTTTGAAGTACTTGTCTTGAGCGATTGAGGAGACACGAAAGGTCATCTGTTAAGATTTCTCTCTCTTTCTATCGTAAAACATTTAGAGTTATTTATTCAGTAATAAACACCGGACACCAGGATTCGTAGAGAGTGCATGTCACTGATCATCATTGCAAATGAATATAACTATAAACATTCTAAACAATAAGCTTGTTAGGATAAAAAATCAGTTGAAACATTTAGTCAGTCAAACTGAATCTTGAATGATTAAGCCGATTTCAGCAATGTGTCAAAGCAATCAACTAACACATACACTAGAAGTAAGTCGAAAATTATCACTACTCACTATTTTAAAGTTGTTGTTTCTTCAGAAGAAAATTTTTAGGCAATAAAAAGTCATAACTTTCTATTGATATGCTTGTAATTCCCCGTTATTTTACTTGATCGAATTCTTCGACCTCTGTTGACATATGGGCCCTTAAGCGAATGCCTCGATATTGCCTGAATGCTCATCATGCTAATTTACATTGTTGTGACTAGCAGAGGAAGCTAAGGCTCGCGATTCATCCTAATTGGGACTCGTCAACTGGGTGTAGCTGTGCCGCAATGCAGAGTGGTGTTGTCCCCACCGAGACTCGAACCTCGTACCGAATGCTTTAAATGCCAAGGCATTATCCACTACGCCACCAAGGAACGATAGCCACCTGTTGTACAACGGATATTAGTTATTATTATTTGTCGATAAACTTGTAATTCTTCGTTGTTATACTGGATCGAACCGTTTGACTTCTGTTGGCATATACGAACAACACTCACTTGAATGGAGGTACATCCGATTGATGAATCCCAAATAGGACGAAACGTGCGTCCTGGGTTCCACCACTAGCCACTATCAGTCAGTCATATGAAACTGGTAATACCAGTAAGTCAACGCGTTCGCATAGATACCCGTATACCAATGGTGGTGGAGGAATAACCAGCAGTGAAATAAAACCCACATTCGTCACACGAGGAGTGGCTATTCTGACTCAGTGGCCTAGTGGGTAACGCTCTACTGTTTGAAGCCACAGGGAGCGGGTGGGTCCGAGTCCTAGTGGGAACATTATAACTGACTGCGAGGTCACTATGTCCAGCTGTCTCAAACATGGCAAAACACGAGTCGTAGGTTCCACTACTAGCCAGTACCCATCATTAGATGAAAAACTTTTGCTAATCTATCTCCATGTCATTATTCAATAATGTATCAGAAATGATAATCTTTAAATGAAATCCGAGAAAGTGAGATAAATTAGTGGGTAAGACAATTATTTCAGCACCTAACTGTAGCAACAGATGTGACACAGTATGTATATTCTGAATGTGTTTCACGATAAATCTGTATCACAGTAATGAAGCCACAGTGTGACTTTACACCGGGGATAACTAAAAACATTCACAATCATCACGAGATGATTTGGGACACCTCTGAAACACTTAACAAGTTAGACAAATGTATTCCATTTTATATGCGCTATCACTAGATGCACAAGTACAAATTAAGTGAAGTTAATCAATTTAGTTCATTGATACAGGGACTCGACTTTCAATCATTAACCCATACGACGTATCCTAGCTGTGTTTACTAATTTTCGGGTTGCTAGATGGCTCCAAAAAAATGGAGGAGAACCTAAAAGTAGTTGCTGAGCGACAATATCATAATGTAATATTATGGTTCACTACTACTCCTATCTAAAGAAAGCCTTTAACTAATACAGTGCCCTGAGTAGCAAACGAGGTATTTATTGACATTATGGAGTTAATGGAAAACAGGCATTGTCAATCATACTGACATAGTTCGTACAAGGAGTTATAAGTGCCCCTAAAAGTGGGTAACTTCTAACCATATAATAATGTTTACGCATTGGTCACTCAAGGAGTAATCGATGTAGCTGTTGAATCCCTAGTGCTCAGAACTGACCAGGATAGACCGTTTATATTTGCAATGTGACCATTAAATTAAGTGACACTGCCCCACAGTGCACTGTATTTCTGTGCCAGATATTAAGCATACACTATTTTGATATGATAATTGCTGCACAGTTGTATCTTTTAACGCTCTTTAGCAAACATTATCAAAACTGAAGCAAACGCATAAAACATATGTAGCAGCAGCAATTGAACAACTGGGCAGTCATTGCATCACCAGCACTATGATACTGAAGTTTTCGCTACATCATACTTTATCACAATCGTAAAATTCTCTATTTGACAGCCGAGTGAATGACACCCAACTCAACTGCTCTACAGAGTCTTCTGAAAACCTTAAATAAGAAGTTGAGAGTAGTTCTCAACACCCAAATACAAACTGTTGCTCTAAGGCTGGTTTTCAGTGGTATCCTATCTAACAATCAATAGTGAAATGGTTGAGTACTTTGACCGTTTCAATTACTTTGGAAATCAGACCATCCTTGGTGGTAAACGAAATCTCCGTACGGACATAAATGGTTTGATTGGCTTTCGCCAACTTACGCCACTTATGGCATCGTCACCACATCCGATTATCTATTAACTTTAGAGTGTGCCACACTGCAGTTGACTCTGTTCTACTGTTTATTTGTAAAACATGACCATTCCAGGTAGAGGACATGAGGGAGCTTCTGATATTCGACCAACATTGCCTTCGTAGCATAGGCTGTCATTGCGTCACTACTTCAGTAATATAGAAATTAGGTGAAGAGTTCTAGGGAGGAGAGGAGATTTAGTTGATGAGATTGTGAACCTTCATCGATTCAGTTGACTGAGACATATGTTAAGCGTTCCTAGTCCTCATCTGCCTTGTTGTATAATGCTAACTGATGTCTATTTAGGTTGGAAAAAGGTAAGGGAAGACCAAACTGAAATATGTCATCACCGCATGAAGTCCTTGACTGCTAGTTTGAGCCATGTTGGGAAATGCAGACTAGCCGGTTGGCGTCAGCGTGACAGCAGAAACCAGTAGTTGGAGTCTCTAGATAATATGCCTCAGAACTGCTGTCAGTGGTGCAGATGTATCCACACTGTCTTCATCTTAACCACCATGCTGAATTCAGCATTTTCTCATTCCTCCTTCCTCTCTTATACGACTTTCTTCTGCCTTTACTATTTCTTTACTACTCCATCCTTCATCTTGTTGTGGTGATATGAGGTGTAGCAACTTGGACCCTTATTCAGTAATGCTTGGTCCTATGCTATTGTTGATGATTCAGCTGTTTGTATTTCACTAAACGATTTAGTGAGTAGTTAGATCTTGCAGCTCGGTGAAGTTATCAATGGATAAGCGAAATGAAGGCAATTATTTGGAATCTGCTGCGATGTAAATAAGAAAGATAGAGTCCGATGAATAGGTTGTATTGTCTTTAGAATTCTATCTCAGCAGGTAACACTTCCTGACAGTACTCAAAACAATTATCAACACGCTAATACTCTTCACCATGTTTAGTGGTTTGCATATAGAAGAAAATAAACTCACTTCCTCCCTTAAAATACTACCATTCTTAAACATATGTATAAAAAGAGTGTACTGATGTTATACCTATCTTAGTGACTAGCAGAGGAATGCAGTATGAGCCTTTCGTCCTATTTGGGACTCGTCAGCTGGATGGACCAGCAACTCAGTGCAGAGTGTTGTTCCCACTAAGGCCCGAACCCAGTACCCATTGCTTCAAACGCCAGAGCGTTATACACTAATCTACTGGGCGCACGATAACCATGTATGGAGAAATGGGTATCAGTTCTTGTTATGATACTTGCAATTTTCCGTTGCTATACAGGACCTCTGTTGGTAGATGGGCTCCTAGGCGGATCTTGGTGACTAGCAGAGGAATCCTACATAGCAACAGGAAATTATAAGTATCATAAAAAGAGTGAAATGATAGTTATTCAAAAGTAGATCACACGAGGATTAGTATATATATATTGGATGATAGATGTAATCAATTCATTTATTGAACGGCTACTCAATCAACCATTAGCTGAATGCAATTCAGATCAGTGATAATAGGATGCATTTGTGTGTGCATAAAGGTGCGTTTTAGCAAAAGTGCATAAGAAACTGCCTGATACCACCTATAACAATGAATAGATTGTGCAGATAATTCGTGATTTTAATAAATTACAAAATCAGGAAAACGATTTGAACATCTGATTCGCAGTAATAAATCAGGCAGGATATGTATTTAGTGGGAAATTTGGCATATGTTTAATAGGTAGAACATGCTTAGCTAGTCAGTGTTTTTTTACTTATTACCAGAACGAACCATGTATACTTGTTTTTTAGATTTTTGACCGCAAAATGATATTGAATGCAAGTGATTACATTCAATATTTCTTCTGTAGGACACTGGGGATATTGGAAGAGTAATCTCAGTCCTCCAAATTCTGTTGATTGTGTTCAAGTTGACAGGTTGGTCTACTGTCATAGAACGATCC